GTCTTAGCAGCTGAAAGGTCAAACTACATTTCCTTTATATTTCTCAAATTTCTCTATTTAAGTCAGCACAAGCCTGCTCAGACAGCCAAGAGGAAAACGTCTTCACTGCCAATTAGTAGTAAGCAAAACCAAATGGGTATCATCACAGCAAGGCAGTCTGCTCAAGCAGAGAGGAAAAATTTTAATTGGATATGTTTCAAGACAAAAAATGACTTCTCAGCTATTGTGGTAAGGAATGCTGTTCCAATTCCAATGTCTTAAAAAGAAAGCACACACCAAGTATAATCCATTATTCTGATGCGAAATAAGTATAATGACATGCATGAAGACCCACCAAGAGCAGGAACCTCTCAGCAAATGCATATTTTTTACATATATGCATTTTCTCACTAACCCAGACACCTAGTGTCTCAATGAGTAAGTAATGGCATTCAGGAATAGGTTAGACAAATATTTCAGGCTACCATTTATACAAATAATTATACATCTTAGATGCTGGTACAATACAAATCTGAATTAAAAAGCCACTGATGAGGAAATGGGAGTTTTGAGTTAAATGGAAATATGACAGAAGGATGGAAATGCCACCTAAGGGGGTAGACTGAAACCATGGAGACGTCTCACAAGACTTTATGCAGACAGAAAGCCTGACTCCCGTTACCGGGGTCAGAAACCTCTGCGCTAGCCAATGGATTTCTTAGAAACCTTGAGGGCAGGGTCAATATCACAGGGTCTAACTGAATCCTTGCTACCTTCTCCAAGTGAAAAGAATGAACTATGAATGCACATAAAATCATAGGATATTTTACTAGCTGTAAAAGAGCAAGTTCTTAACCTACGTACAAACAACCTTATAGATACTGTGCAATTCCAGGTTTCTCCCGCATTCTTGCAGACAAGAATGTAATTATTTAACCATTCAGAACTAAAAATTACATCAAAGTTAACTGATTTTTAAGCAAAAGATGAAAAAGATAGCATATTTAAATCATAAACATAAATACTAATGCAGTGTGTAATGCTTACTAGTTTGCTCTGTAAGTCTCCTTTTACTGTGCTGTATAATAAAATACTGCCAACTGCTGTACCAATCGCTAACAGATCCAACTGTTCACCTGCTTCTGCAGCTTCAGATTTTCTTTTTTTCCTCTGAGGCCCCTCCTGAAAAGGAAGTGGGAAAAATAAAGCAGTTAGCTTGGTCAGCTGTCCCAAAAAACACATCAGGGAACAAACATTTGTTAACTGTAATATAACCAGCACAACTAAAACATGTTAGCTAAAACTATTACAAGTCGTATTACAACCAAGCCGAGAGACTTATTTGCATTTCCAGTACAATTCTGTTCAAATCACATGATTGCTGGAATATATTAAGCAGCAACTGAAAAAAAACATTCTGATATTCTACTGGCAGCATGCTGCTCTGTATGAAAAACCCAAGCTCATTTTCCAGTTTTCACTTTGCTGCCAGAGCTAGAAGTGAAGGCCACTGCAGTGTGCTTCACCCCCAAAGGGGAAGACGTAAACAGTAATGGAATTCATCACTTCTAGAACACTTTTCATTACTCAATAGACTTTCCAAAAAAGAAGTAAGCCCTCACTCTCTCCTGTGGAGAAAGTTTTCCTCACTTGAGAAATGAGGTAGAACTAAGACAAAAGGTTAAATGATTTGACCAAGGTCAAAGGGAGCCAGTACACAATAGGTCTTGAACTATAAGGACAGAGGTTAAGTAATGAGGTAAAAAAAAAAAATTCTAAGGGAAGCTTCACGAAGTCTTCCTTGACAAACATTGCAGTGATCAAAACAAGGTATGAGGGTATCAAGCTAAGTAGAAGAATAGAATTAGTTATGGAATATGCCACACCACAGAGAAAAAAAAGACGCTGCATCATCCCAGTTCTATTCTCAAAGGCTTAATATCAATGATCATATCCAGATATTTAAGGGGTTTGACAGAACAAAGCAGTCCAAATGCCAGAGGTCAGTAACTGGCCAGAGAGACTTTTTTCTATCAGATGTGTTTCATCTAGTAGGGGGGCAGACAACCTTTTCCAGCTCTGAACCAAAATGACCCAACCCCCTAGTCAGGTGGGCGGAAGCCTGTCCCCCATGATGGTATAGGGAGAGCACCTGCCACTAGGGGTGCACCGATAAAGATTTTCTTGGCTGATACTGACAGCCGATTATTAACCAGCCATATCGTCTGATACAATCAGAAAGCCAAATTACAGGAATGAAGCCAGGTAGAATGGAGAGCAATGTCTAGCCAGTAAGTCTGTGGGAGGGAGGGAAGGGATGTGTGCTGTGGGGAGAGAGACTGAGGTCCACATGGTGAGGGAGGGAGTGGGGCAGGGGCAGATACTGCCCAGCAGGGCAGTGAATGCTACCCCACAGGCAGCTTGTCAGGGAGGACATTGGGTGGGTGGGGGGCAGCAGCTCCCCAGCACTGTGCACACCCCCAGGGGAGGCATGTGTCCCCCAGATTTGTGCGCAGGGTGAGGACAGGCTGCCTGCTGCAGGCTCAGGACCAGGGGCTATGCCAGCTCTTCCTGGCAGGGTGGGCAGCAACAGCACTGGAAGGGATAGCTACAGGGAATTTTGGGGTGGCTGAAGCCCCCCTTCCCCAGTATGATATATCTACTACGCTCAGATTTCGCTGAAGGAAAAAAATAAGAGTTCTTTTACCTACAACAGAGCAATGTCTCCTCTACAGAATAGGATATCTGCACCAATGAACAACCAGGAAGCCCAAGACAAGACATCTCTTGGGCTTAAAACCTGACCAGCAAACTTTGTAAGTCTTAGTGCTCCGCCCACATTAGGTATCCACCATTACCATAGGTGAGAGGCAGCAAATCCATCATTAATCTGTGCCCAAGCCTGCAGATATGAAAACTGCAGAGCATTCAAAAGCTTACACCGCATTTAAAATGCGTATGATGTAAAGACAGACACTGGCTCCTTCAAGATCCAGCACTTCAGCTTCTACCCTACGCATATGTTCTAGAGTACTTAGGAACAAAAAGTAATAATTTGTTTTAACTGAAGTTAACATTGTGTAGCACCTTGTGGCACTCCAGGGTGCTGCAACACCCTGGCTGAGAATCACTGGCCTAAGAGTCTTCTTTTTCTGGTACTGTTTCAATTTCCTAATATTGTTTTGTATGAAAGCAGCCGAGTGCAGATTTTCCCCTTTCCCCTGAACAAGATGGTAACCCTGTCTTCCTCAAAGAAGCAGCTACTGGCTTATCTAAAACTTTTCTATCCTCCTTTCACCTCAATGATTTTTATATTTGGCTCACTGGAAATACTCCAGAATAATACAACATCATGAGTACAAACAAGCCCCATTGAAGCCCATCCAACTTGTAATATTTCTGATGTCACAGAATGAGCGAGCCAAGAAGTCTTAATGTCTATTGGGAGGATTTTAAGTTACTTTGTATCTATGCTGTATTACTCTCAACAGCTTTGGCTAGTGACAGTACCCAGGTATGGGATTCTGGTTTTAAAAGGAGCCACACAAATGATTAATACTGAAAGTACCTCAAAGGAGAGTCACAAAAAAAAGATCTATAGAATTAAAATATGAACAAATCTTAGACCCTGAACCTGTTGTTATCACAACATGGGTAGATCTTCTATTGGCTTTGGCGGGACTGAAAGATCAAGGCCTTGTAAAAGAACACTCATACTTACATGGATGAGACCAGAGAAATTTTGATCCCAAGAAGTAGAAGCTCCTGCAAGGCAACAAGGACCACTGGCTCCCACTGGGGAGCCAGCATTTCATTTTTATTAATTTTTTTTTAAGTTGATTTCATGGACAATTGCAGATTTTGTGATTTCCGCAAAAATCACAAATTAAGTAGGTCCTTACTGATAAGCATAGCTGGCTTAATGTTTTCTTAGACTGCAGGTGATTGCATTTTATATAAGTTGTTATTGCTTTTCTACAATTAGTTTAAAAGCAGGTTATGGAAAAGGGACTGTTTTAGAAAAAAAATATTTTAGGAAGAAAGTGCTGTCAGGACAAAAACTTCAGTATCTACATATGCCAAGTACAGACTGAATGGGAGATGTGGGTTCTAAGCAGCAATCACAACACTGGGAATTTCCCAGGGCAGGGGGGTTCAGCATCTGACTTGTTTCTACAATCCACCTCAATATTTGCCACTACCACATGGTTTGCATTAAAGTGGCAAGAGTCCAGAACTGACTTTCACTTGAAGTTGGCCAAATGCCAGCTAGAGGCCCCTAATAAGCATAGGATTGTTCTTAAAAGCATCAGCCCAAAGCAGCAAGCTTTCCACTGCAAAAGAAACAAACTGACATATCAAGCACCACGTGGAACAGCTCTCACTTTTTTTGTTCAGTTCTTTCAGTCCAAAAACAAACCACAAAAGTTATAAAGTTATATAAAATATGTACTGAAAGATATCTAAGATTTTCAACTCCACTAGAAACTATGCCAGGCTTCCAGATAACACCGAAAGTCCCCTACACTTCAAGATGGGACAAGCCAAGTACTGTTTGATAACATTCCACACGCAAGGGCACTGTCTATAAAGCAGTCCAAAACTATGTTAGCCCCCCACCCACCCAGACTCATCATTTTCACAGTTCTTACTCCAAAACCACTTGGAAAGCTTTTGGACATGACACATTGTATCATGTCAAGATATCATGTTACAAGAATGTTGAGAGGCTGAATTAAACATTATAAAGCAGGCAGCCTGATCCTATGTTCCAAGGCAAGCTATGACATGGTGTCCCAGCATGTTTAGGACTGATGAAATGGATGCAATTTCCCCAGTCACTGTAACCACTAAAGGACAGGATAATTTTCAAAAGCAAATCATAGCTAAGCAAGTTAAAACCCAGGAAAATAAGTCAGCCCTAAACTCCTTCATCAATTCACTGTCCTTAATATTACCCAAACAGTTAAAAGGGATATTTATCTACCTCAGTAATGCTTCGCAATGAGTTCAGCAAGTATATAACCTTTGTATTTCTATAGCATTTCTGCAATAGTTTTCAAGTATTATGATGTGGTTGGCTTCTGCGGATGGTACGGGGGGAAACTCAGCACTTCTAAACAACGTTAAAAAAAACATTTTTTTTTTTAAACCCAAACCTCAGTGTAATAGGACCTCACTAAGCTAGGTTTCATGTATTTGGTTTTGCAAGTAGAATAAAATAAATACTCAGAAATTCAACAGTAGGAATCTCTAAGTCCTGTGATAATGGCCCAATAAACAGCCTGAATCTTATGTACCCCTAACCTACAGCATTCCTGAATTATGAAGGAACCCCCCTCTGGCAACCATTTGTTAGTTAGAGAAAGTTGCATGGCAGTCATCTCATATGGGGCTGAACTAGCAGCATGTAACTACCTTATCCCACGACTTTCTCCTTAACAGTATTCTTCACTGCAGCTAACAGCAGGCACATGTAAAAATGGCATGCTCCTATATTTGAACCAAGGTGGTTTACAGTTAGTTACATATACAGCACAAGTAGCTTACATCACTGGTTCCGGGGAAAGAGGTACCTGCACTCAGCTGCTTTCACACACAAAAAATATTAAGAAATTGAAACATCACCAGAAAGACTACTCTGAAGCCACTGAGTCTCAACCAGGGTGTTGAGGCACCCTGGGGTGCCTTCAGATTCTTTCCCAACATTAGTTAACACCGTTAGGTGAGCCAAGGTAACTCACAAGATAAACTCAGAGATTTAAAATACGAATCCAGTGTTAAAAATATCCTGACTTGTTGTGGTCTGAGTTCTTCACAACAGAAGAATGGCTCTAGTATTCTTCTATAGCCAAAAAAAAACCCAAGTGAAAACTAAGAGCTGGCATTTCACAAGGGGCAGCTCAAGTCAAGCAAGGCTGAGAGCCACCAGTTTAAACAGCCAACCAATGCTCCATAACTGGACCCTTGCGCTCTTGGCCTGGAGCCCATTTCTGAGGATCTTCCGCTGGGCCACAACAGGCACATCCCCACTCCCCGGTGCAGGATGCTGCAAGCACTGCTGATAAATGAGGCTCTACATCAGGGGCTCTCAATTGTTTTAGACTCAAGGGGTCCCCCAGGGTGGTCTCAAGGAGTCCCCCAAAAAATGCCAACACTTAGTTTTCACTTTTTTCCAGTTCTGCTGATGCAAAGGGATGCAGAATATATTCTGTGCCCCAGGTCAAATCAGCCAAATCGTACCAACCCAACAGACCTCATCATCCCCAAAACTGCATAGAACCCAGTCCTTGTAAATACATCTGCCGCTCAACCCGACACTTCAGAAACTCCCAAACCCATGGGGGCAAGCAGGCACTCTGCCCAAGGACCCCCTGCCCCTCACAGGGGCATGCAGGCAGTGCCCCAGCAGTGTCACCAACCCACTCCCCCACTCAGCCCACGAGTTTGGGGGAGCCAGGGTGACCCCCTCCAACCCCCAACCCCAAGTAAGTGCCAGGACCCCACCCCAGAGGGCCCCTGCCCCGTGGACAACCAGGCTCCTGACTGCCCCTCCAGGCAGCGGGGTGGGGGCGG